TTGTGTCCATGTGTCGGATTTAAAAAGTGCTTTGACAAGAGTAACGGAAACATTTATATCAAGCTACATTGCATACGCTGTGAATTCACTTCATCAGTTTCATTTATATCTAGAATGCAAATACTACATATTTCATTCTTCTATAGTATATATTTCAAATTTACAATTCTTTAAAATATTTTTAAGTTGTATTTGGAACATTCTAAAAACGGCTGAGGTCGTGTGCTAAAATTCAGCCCAGTAGTTGCTACTTTATCTATCATGTTCTATGACTGTCACGTGGTACTTCCAGACTCTTGTGAACCAGTTTTCTAATTGCTTCCTCACTTACAGAGACAAGGTGAACTGTAAATGCAGTTTGGGCCTTTTAAGACAGATTTTATTTGAATACGAAAGTTAAAACAAAATTTGCCCAGCAATGCAGATTAAGATTTGGAGGGAGAGGGTAAATTCGTACTTAAGTCACACGATCGTTATTTTTCTAAAGTGAAAATGCAATATGAGGTCTGGCATTATATTGTATGTTTATGGCACACACAGTTGCTCCCCCAATAAATGGCGTTCCTGGAATCACTGTGGAACTCTCGTCTTCACCTATAGCTTTTATTTTTTTAATCGTGTATGCTTTCTTTTTATTCCACTTATCTAGCTTTTATCTGCAGTGTAGTTATTCCACTTCTTTTCATCAACGCAAGAGACCGTTAGACGATCATAATTTTTCTCTGATAAATTACATGTTTTTAATATTTACTTTAAACTTCAACTTCTTGTCCCTTTCATTTTGTTACTGCAAAACAATACAGATGTCCTTCACGTACTAGGCTTTTGAATCTTTAGTTATTGAAGAGACCGGATAACTGTGTACTAAGTTTGTCCTTGAAATTACTACAGGTGTAATTATAACTAGTCAGAAAACTGAAAGTGGCATGCCAAACTGCTCTTGAGTTTTAGATACACGCACACACACATATATATACATATACTTGGTTTTTTATTTATTATTATTATTTAACGATGACATATTTCTTCGCTTGCTTTACTGCGTTATGATTTTACTATCGGCGAATTTTTGAAACCATACGTTTTTGTGCTCAGAATTCTATAATATTAGTTATTCTTGAACAATTAAAACCTTGGTATAATTAGTTACTAAGGCAAATAAGCATCGATGATTGTATTTGTTCTTTACTTTTAAAATTTACACTACACGAAGTGATTTGTGTTATAAACTCAGTTTTTTAGTTCCACTGCTGTATATCAGATATTTCTACAATGTGATTTTTTTTTGTACTGGACGCTTATTTAAAGATGTAGGTATCCCTCCCTTTGTAGTAAGGTGGAATGGCCCTATTTTGAGTTGACACTGCGGAAAAGCGTAACGTATGAACGTGTCTGTTGTCCGTCTAGTAAAGCTTAGTACTGGTGGTACTTGACTGAGGAGGCGTACTTAAAACTATATTATTCAAAGGTTAGTGTGAAGTAGACTTCAAGAACATTTAACAAAATGTATTAAAATCAATGAAATATAAGTAATGTCTAAAAGTTGATAACTATTGTATAATTTATGCAGTTAAACACAGCTAACCCTACGTTATACTAAAGTGTAATTATTACTACTAGTACGACAAAGTAGAATTAGGTCAGTGCCCTTGGCCAGTTTTACTAACTTTATGAGTTTATCCGCCATTATGTTTTGGTACTCAACGTAATGCTTTATTTAGTATGAGTGTATTTACACTTACAGTGTACATGTTCGTAGATTCGTTATGTAAGATAACGCAACGTAGTTGTAGTAGTATTATTAACAAAACACAATTTTTTTTTCTTTCACAAGTAATTTTGCTGATTTGTTAGGTGAACTATTAACAGACTCACTGTGTGACGCAGGTACACAAAACTCAAATTGTCACAAGCACAAAAAAGTTTTGCGGTGGAGAACTAAGCCTAATTACTCCTTGTATTTTATCGGTAAAACTCAGTATGACTTACAAGTTATGGTTATATTTGGAGATCCCATCTTTTATATTCGTATATTGGGTTAATGTTTAATAATAAATTGGATGTTTTTTAGGCCTAACCTGCTTTATCTTGAATTTTGATACCCATCCAGATGATCCAGGCCAGTTGTATGGTAAACTGTAAGTCAGAGTAAAGAAAATACTGATTAAAATTTTGGAGAACAGATGTAAAAACTATATATATATATAGTGAAGGGTTTTGATGTACAATATAACATTCCATTGAGAGAGAGAGAGAGAGAGAGAGACAATCGGGTAGCTACAGCATCCTATTATGTATGAGGTTTAAATGTTTTTTCTCATTCAGAAAATGCTAACAAAGAAACCTTATTAAGGATCCATGGAAAGTAATAAAAATACAGTAAATGCTTTCAATTGGTAGGTAATGTGTAAAAAAACAACAAGAACAAAAAAAAACAAAAAACAAACGTGTATATATATATATATTGATTTTTTTTCTTAAATTTCCATTACATTAATATTTAAAAAAGTGTTACAAGCTACCTTTTTTTGCAACATTTGTTATGTATTAGAATTTCAAATGGTCTGAAACCGAATTAACTAATAAATTTAAATTTAGTAGTTAAATTGTACTTTGGATTTAGCAATTAAGTAAAAGCCAATATATAGTCAGTTTATGATATTTGCCAACAAGATTGATACACACAGTTTTCTTTTTTAACACAAATATGTTTTAATATACAAACAACAAAACAATTTACAATAACAGTTATTACAGATAGTTATTACAAACAATGATTTATAAACAAAAGTTTCACAAACTTACAAGCAATATGAAGTCTTCTTTCTAGTCTAGTTGATTATGAGTTGATGTAGGTATAATTCACTAGCTCTGTATTCTTTGCCGGTGTTTTTTACTGATGAAGTTAGGTAATGTCCGATGTGAACCCACTGAAGTTAAATGGTTTGTAATGTTCCAAATTTATAAACATTCCTGGTCAAATATTTTGTTTTCTGATTAATAAGCGATAATCACAGTTATAGCTTCCAAAGTTTAAAGCACACTAACTATAGCAAACTAGTAATAGATACTCTTTTTTTTTTTTGTCACATCGCATTGGTTATATTTATAGGCATGTGGAGGCTTTCTAGAAGATTCAGATTATGTAACAATACAAACTTAAGCATTTACATACATACATATATTGTTGATTCTTACCCTCGAGAATCTTCTACAACTTTGGAGAATAGGTGGGAGTTTTGTAATACATATTTAACAATATAAGCTACTTATGTTTCTAAATAGAAATTTAATCTAAACAAACATTGATAGTAAAATAAATATGTAATAATAAATCCATCACGCATTGCATTATAAGTAAAGACTTCATTCTTTGCTTTCTTAGTTGTATATGGATATTGTCAAATCACAGTTCAGTATCTTCAGTAACAGAAAAAAATTAAGACCTAAATATCAGCTGTAGTTTTTCACCAAGACAACTTGTTTCATGTGTTAAGTAATCACTGTTTGATTACTTGTACCAATTCCAGAATGCCAGTCACTTGTTCTAAAATAGAAAGATAATAATATATTCATTTTTTCAGTAGACTAAAATTAACTGCCTTTATAAATGTCAAATCTTTTATACATAAATTTAAGCCTGTTAGAAGTTTGTTTTGGTATAAAACAATGATCAAACAAAAGAAAAAAAAACATTAATAGTTATATCTATGTTATTTTCTTTCCTAGTTTTGTTTGCATAATGTTATTTCTGAATAAGTGAATAACGTTACATTTCTCAACATATGTGACATTGAAACTATAAGATGACTGATGGCCTTTATTTTAATTAAGTTCATTCCCCCACCTTTCAAACCAGATCATGAAAACTAATTGTTGCCTTTCACATTCATATATATTGTTTAAAAATAATTTTAAACCAACAGTACATACCAAATTATCAGTCATGCCAGTTGACAAGTTTTTAACTAATGAAGGAATTGTTACAAAAGAAGAAGACTGTATGTATTTCAAAGTGTGTGTATTACTCCAACTATTCCTGTTTCCACATCCAAGTGTGTTTCACTACTCAGAACAAAAGTATCTATTGACATTAAACATCTGAATCAACTTTGTTCTGGTAATAGCAGGGATTGAAATAATGAAATAAAATTATGTTCACTCAACGGAAAGCAATCAGGAAGATTACATTCCCTCATGTAAAATTGCATTTCCTTGTGAATTGCTTTTTTTTATTTAATTCATGAATATGTTCACTTTCATTAGATATACGGATGGACTATGCATTCCTGATCAGGAAAGCCAACTAAAAAGATGAAATTCCTCGGGGATGCTGGAATGTAATACTTCGATCTCTGAGTAGTAGTAGTAGTACTGATCTCTAAAGAAAATAAGTAAATTCTTAAGTAGTCTCTCTTTTCAAGCTTAAATTATTTAAATGTAATATTGTATTATTCTCTTTGGAATATAGAGATTTTTACCCATTCTTGACCATTTGTTAAATTATTCAGGTCCTTGTTAATTAAAATAGTTTCTTTGCAGATTTCAGTTTTGAAGAACGCCTTAAAATCCTTTTGAAGTTTTGTCTTAACTTATACATAAAAAATACTAATGACATCTGACTGGAAACCAAAATCTACAGTAAACAGTTTAAGGTTTCTGTAGTAATGTGCTATAGGAGCTGAGCCAGTTTTTTAGGAAAAACAATAGTTTGAAACCAACTCTTGTACATACCAGTTCTGTAACATGGTTTATAGAAAAACATTTTTCATAGTTTATAACAAATCTGTTTCACTAGTTTTCTTACTATTAAAATATCTTCCATGACATTATCTTTTTTTATTTCATAACAAAATTTCACCATCAAAGTGTGTGTGTGCATTCCCCACACACAAATTTTTTCTTAGTTATCTTGTGGAAACTTATTGTTAGAGAAATTGAGATATTGTTTTTGTGTGGCTTTTTGTTTATATTACCTACATGCAGCTCTGTCATAATGAAAGTGATTGAGACTGTTCTGTTGTATGGGCCTAGAACATACATTTGTTTTCTTATATTTATGAAAACAAAATCCATTCCGCAATCCTGAGCTATATTAGTATTACTTTCGTAGTTATGGTTATAGTTAGGAATATCCGTCAAATAGGAAATGCATGTGTAGTAAACCTTTAATTAGTTGAGTATAAAACAAAAACTACTTAAGGCAAACTTCTCCACTTCTAATAATATAAAGCTCTACTGTATGACTTGGCTGACTGTTGGTCTACCTGAAATGATGAGAGCTTAGATCCATATTTTTGGGTGTTTACCTTTGTTTCATTCATAGTGTTCCTGGCCTATTACACCTTATTAATTTTTTGTTTGGAACATTACATCACATTTGTCAAAAAGCTGTAGCATCTTGATTAGAGGAAAGAAATAAGACAATTTTCAAACTTAAAGAATAGAAGGAAATGTTTTTGGTTGTATTTAATTATTTGTTAGATTTAACTAGACACAAACACCATTTTTCTTACTGTTGACTTGACTGCTGGGATATGAGAAAGTTAGAACAGTTCCACATTTTTGTAAACATCAGCCTGTAATGAAAAGTTAATTATCCAACAACTAAAGTTATATGAAGGTAGGCAAAAGTAATTTGTACATTTATTATTATCTATTTATTCACATTTGAAATATATTTTTAGTAAAAGATTGTAAGCTTCACTTCAGTGTATAATGATATGACTACTTTTAAAGGCCTGTATGTGTAATTAGGATAAGAGCATGCCAAGTATTGCATCAATTTGAATTGGCACTTAGAACAAAAAAAGCATTGTGCCTGCGATGAATCACTATCTGATGAACTGGAGTTCTTCTTGTAGCTGCTTTTAAAAAAATTAAAAGTCTTTGTAGTTTGTATCAAGATGACTTCCATACTACAATATTAAATTTCAGTTATGTTTTTAATCATGTCAAGGCTAGTCTGCTTGTAAAGCAAACAAACAAGGAGGAGGAATGAGGTTTGGTTTAACTTTGAACCCCAGTGCTCTTGTAGTATTAGCTATCTTGTGTCATTAAAGTGACATTTTAGACCAAGTTGTCTTGAGTCATTGATCATCTGGCTATATCTTTTAGAAAGATACTACATTGAAATTAGAATGTTTATTTTTTTGTTAGTTTAAAACTACGGATAATGAAGTTATGAAATTTGTTCTTTTAGTAATATAAAGTTCTCTATGCTGGATGAGTAAACTTGGAGGTTTTTATGTGCATTGATTCTTATACTCATAAATTTCGATTGATTGCATTCATTCTTGCAACAGCCAAATATCATGGTCTATCTGACACTTTTCGAAGTAGAAAAGTGTATGTTCATGTTTAGTTAGGAGTAAATTGTGACATCTTATTTCATTATCATTTATAGTATGTAGGCATGTTTTTTCATTTGGTTAAAAAAAAACTGCCCTTATTGAAATGTGTATTTTGCCATTCATGCTTATTTGAAATTCATCAAAATGACATTCTGTTATTTACTAAAAAGAAGGTGAAAACCAGTGATGTATAGTGTTTGTCAAAGAATAATATGGCATTGAAGGGAAAAATCCAAACCTGGAATTTCAGTTTTTAAATCATGGAGAATAAAAAACATTCTAACCAACATAGATCTCAGAAGCTTTTGAACATCTCTTACAGTAACATTTTTTTCTCTTTTTTTTTGCTTTTTGTACAAGTGTTGTATTTCTTTTGTTTTAGATATTTCTTCTGTTCCTCTACTAACCATGTTTAGTTTCCATAAACCCAAGATCTATCGCTCTGTCAGTGGTTGCTGTATCTGTAAAGCCAAATCTTCAAGCTCAAGATTTACTGACAGCAAAAAATATGAATCTGAATTTGAAAAGTGCTTCTGTATAAAAGAAAAACGTTCAGGAGAAATATGTAATGCCTGTGTTCTCCTAGTGAAAAGATGGAAGAAACTCCCTGCAGGAACCAACCGAGATTGGAGCCATGTAAATATAAAACTGTTTAAATGTACATATATAAAGTAGAGATTTTTTTACATATCTTTCCATTTTGTTATTCTGAAGACTAAATTTATATTAATTTATCATTTTGGCTTTTGTGTGAATAGATTTATTAATGGTTTCAAAGTCATTGTTGGCTTAGCTTCTACTGGATCTTATTTTGTCTTGTAAAATAACTTTTTGCATGATTTTTGATCAGGTGGTTGATGCAAGGGCAGGACCAGGAACCAAATGTGTAAACAAAGCCAAAGCAAAGACATCAAAAAGACTGCAAAAGAAATATAAAATCAAAAGAACAAGTGAAAAAATAGATAATGCAGGCTCTCCTGGAAGCTTTTCTGATGATTTGATAGGTATGTTCAAAGAAGAATTAGAATTTACAAGACTGACTTTTGTCAGTCCATAAGCAGCTCCATATTATTAGGGTTAAATTACTGAAAAAACAACAACTGTACATTTACTACAGTGGTATTTGGATATACACATGGTTTAGGGTGATGACACGTGTCAGTTTGTAGGAGCAAACTTTTACAACTGCCTCAGTGGATTACACCAACTACATGGCTCCAAAGTGACCATCAGAATTTCTATATTATAACATTTAACATGTTTTGCGTATCTTCACAAAATTTTTCAAGTTTTAGTAAATATTACAAGTCTTTTTGTAGACAAAAAAAAAAGAAATTTTTAATTAACTATTTTTACTAAAAATTTGTTTGTGACTATATGGAGTCAGTATTTACTGCTCTGAGTTGAAAGTGATTTTCATGTTAAGATTAAAAATACTTTCCATCTGAAAACTTTAAAATTGCATTTGCGTAATCTCTAAAACTTCCTGAATAAATCGGAAAGACTATTTGTTATTTTATCTACTCTAACTATATGGAGTTGATCAATTTGACTGACCTTATAACCACCAATAAAACTTTAAAGGTTGAAAAATGCAAAATATAGTAAGTAGTACCTTTCTATCCTCTTTAATATTGACCATGTAACTACCAAGGATACTGTGCACTGCTAGACTAGGTCTGGCAAGCATTCGTATCATTAATATAAGGATGGTCATTGACATTGGCCAGTAATTGATCAATACCTGGTTGGTTCAAACTTTTGATTGGTAGCTAATTTTCCCTAATGGTCATTCTTGTAGCTATAGGAAAACTGCATTTGTGTATTTATGTACTTTTCTTTAAAAAATTCTAAAATACAGATTATTTATTTTAACTTTTAAAGGTGCTACAAACCATTAGTTTAGTGTCACCTACTAAGATTCCTCTTTTATGTTTTTTTAAAATTACTGTTGTGTGTGTTGTTGATTTTAGAAATGCTGTGTGTGTAGAGAATTGACTCATTTTTTTTTTATTTTGTTGGTTAATACACATGCTTCTTAGTACTTTTAACACAGTTTATGGTGGTCTCACAAAACAGATAAATCTTTGGATTGCTTGAATAAAATAATTATTTAAAAGTTCAAAAAAGTGTTGAAATACATGCTATAATAATTTAGTTATAGATAAACTTGGAAAACTGTGTAGTGATCCTAGAATTTTGTCAACTGAAAAGTGTGGGAACCATCTATATGATTCAGAATATGTAAAATGTAAAATCTCTGAAGGGGTTATCAATCTATACATACAATGAAATATAAAACAACCACATAGTGATCAAGCGTTTGGAGCACCTTAACCTTTTCCATTGTATGAAGGAAAAAGGTCGCATAGTTAAGAGTAAGTGATCCAAGTCATTTTGCTGAAGTACAGGTGTTTCATATTGGTAAAACTTTGCATTAAAATAGCTATTCTAATCAATGAGAGACTGATCCACTGTAAGCCTCATATATAAACACATGCATGACTCAATTACAGATTCATAAATTACAATGTCCAATTATATAATTTTGTATTTATAACATTTTTCATTGGAATTAAAAAAAAAAGGCTACCAGTCTTATGAAAATTTCAGTAAAAGGAGATATCTAACAATTTGATGTTAAAAGAAATGGATAGCATTTTTCTAAATTTTAATAATTAATTATAGAGGTGAATTTTACACATTTTTCATGCAAGCAAAACCACATTATCCATAGGCTAGTATGTGTAGAATTCATGATAGTCTGAACTTAAAATTTGACTGTCTTGGATACCAGGCTTGTAGATTTTCAAACACCTGATGTTGTTGATCAATGATTTTAGTTAATCTTTATGCATCCCGAAACATCTGATGATCCCATCCTTTGATCTAAAATGCAAATATTTTATCTTTCAGTTTATGTTCGTAAATGATATCTCACTTTAGTATGAAGTATGGTCACCATATACAGCAAGAGCATCCTAACATTTATAATGCAAACCAAAGTCCTCAACCACTCCTTTGCAAGAGATGTCTATGATTCATGTTAATGTAATGAGATAAGATTATGTAATACATATATGCTTGATTTGCTTAATTATGAATTGAGGGAAGGGATATTCATTTAACTTTATTTTATTAATAACATTATTGCAAATTGTGATTATCTTTTGCTTCTTGTAGTTTGTATATTTACAAAATAGATCACTGATGATGATGAGGAGAATTTAAAACTTTATTATTATTATGTAGGATGTGAAATTTTATTCTATACCCTATACAAAATAAGATAACTTGCATCAAATTTTGCAACTGGCAGTTTTTATTGTGGTCATTTGTGACTTAATGCTTAATTTAGCACATTACTGACAAGTCTATTTATTGGTAACACTGAACTGTTGAACAGAAAGTTGCTTATCTATCTGGTTAGAAAAATTATTAATTCATTGATAGAGATACTTTGTGGCTTGGCACTTAGAAATTGGGTTTTAAACAGCTTTCTTTATGCATATTTTATACTCACCATATAAATGTTAGGCTGAGATATATTAATGTTCCAGGTGGCGATGACAGTTTAAGTGAAACCTCAAGCCTCTCTCATTCGCACAGTCGTGCCCCTAGTCCTTCCCCCAGTAGCACATCTGAAGATTCTGGAATTTTAGAAGAGCAGTATGAGTCTGAAACTGTTGACTCCATAAAATCTACTCATCATACACAAGTGGATACTTTTCGCCATAAAAGAGTAAAACTGTCACCAAAAACTTCTCATATCTCATCCTTTCTGGACATGAACTTCTGGAAAAAGTAAGTTTTACACACACATAACTGTTCTTAATAAAATGTTGTATATGGCTCAATATTTAAAGATGCAGAGTTGATCAGGTTCCAACTTTGTTTACTCTTTCTTGAGAATATAGTCTGCAGTTGTTACAATATCAGTGGTTTTATATAGCTAATAGTATGGACCATATTGAAGCCTATCCTTTCTTTGTTTAGTACTTTTTAAATTTGTTCAAGCTAGGAATGATAGAATTAAATATTTGTATTAGATTAAGCCTAAGTTTACTGTTCATTTGATGTACTGGAAACAAAAATTGTTTTTGTGATAATGTAACTTGATATAAGATTTATTTCTTACTCAGATAAAAAGTATTTAATGTAATAATCTGAATCTTAAAAAAAATGTATTAAACTAGTTAAACTACTTCAATCCATTAATAATTTGTAAAAACTTTTGTACTTTATGGTCTCAGATGTTTTCAAACTCAGTGTGTGTGTGTGTGTGTGTGTGTGTTATTTA